TAGGCTGTAAGTTTCATTTGTCCTGAGAGAAATCTCTGGTTCAACCATAGGGAAAGACAAGATCCTGCCTTTGCTTTTCTTCTACTGTGTATGCCAGTATCTGCTATGTATTCTGTTCACGTGGCAGTTACCATGCAAGTTAAGTTGGGCACTTAAAGTACTTCTTTTTTCCACTTTGAAGCCAAACACCGTTCAGTTCTAGAATATTTTTTTTTTTTTTTTTTTTTTTTTTTTTTTTTGTGTTGGCTTGTCTAAGGCTATAAATAACAGTTCTAGGCTGGTTCACATTTATTTAGAAAAGATGGATGCTGAATATATAACAACAGTGCACATACATTTGTCTTTCACTGGCAACGCCATATGTCAAAATAAATGATCTCATTTATGCTTTGTTGTTCTAGAATGAAGAACTGGTATTAAGCAAAGAAACCAAAGACAAACGCTTAGAGGATGGTTACTTCAGGATAGGTATGTCACAGTGGAAAGAAATGTGTATTGCTACTATTGCAACAGTTAAGACACATTCATTAAAACCAAAACAAACTTAAAATGGAGTTTTGATGATTTGTTTTTGGGTACATGACCTTGTAGGCTTTATTTAATATTGTTTCCAATATCTCTTTTCTGAGACTGACGTACTAAACAAAGATCTAGCGTGACTCTTAGTTGTAGTGCAGCCACATCCAACTTCTCTGCCAGAATTGATCACCTAGAGTATTGTAGAGGCATTTCCAGGTTGTACAAGATCACTTTTTCTGTCCTGTGACTGCACAAGTGCCTCTGTGAGAGCTGTTGTTCTTCCCCTGGATTTGAAGCTGCACTACAGACAATCAGCTGTCTCGTCATGGGATGAGATTGGCATCTCCATAGCCGAGAGGCTCCTGGGGACAGTGCCAGGGTACCTCTTGTCAAGGAAGAGAAGTTCTACTCATGGATTGTATTTAGCTTGCTGGACAGAGGTTGGCATTCCTCTTATAACAGAAGCAAGGTTTTCTTTGTTTTAATGAATTGTAGTTGCTGTGTATATGTTTTAAGTGTAAAGTCTAACTGAGCTTTTCAGCTGGATTCTTATTCATCCTAATATAATTGAAGATTCTTTAAATAGGAATACATAATGTATGAATGATACTCCTTGTCCTTAATCCTCCTTGAAACAGGTAAGCTGGGGGCTCCATGTTTAGTTCCATGATAGTAAATGAAAATCTGTGCCAAAATCTTCCCAGGGTTTGAGGTGCTTATACCCTTACACAGTTACAAAGTTTTTATTCTTATGTGTAATCATGCTCAGATCAGCATGCTCTGATGATATGCCTCATCTTGTTTGCTGCTGCAGAACTGATATCAAAAATCACTGATTGTCTTTTATTTCAGGAATGATACCAGACAGTTCTACAACCACCAGCAATAGGTTTCACCTGTGAATTGTGATACTACAGATACATTTTTATGGACACAGATTTTGTACCTCAGTTTGTTGAACAGGAGCTAATTGAGGATATACTTTCGCTTCTTTTGCAGGGAAATTTGAAAATGGTGTAGCTGAAGGAAGAGTTGACCCCAGCCTAAACCCTATTTCATCATTCCGGCTTTCAGTAATACAGAATTCAGCAGTTTGGGCAATTCTGAATGAGGTGAGAGGTAGTAGAACCTTTTAAAAATAAAACTGGCAAACGTGAGATTTCTTCATTCTGTCAGTGTTTTGAAGCTCAAAATTTTGGCTAACGCTGAAAACAGTTACCTGTTATTACTGAGAAATGTGATAACCTAAAACATGACTTCTTTTTTTCTGATTCTCTATTTCAGATTCATATTAAAAAGATTACAAACTGATCATGGAAATCTGCTTTCGAGGAAAAAGAAGGAGTCCTTGAAAATTTTTCTTATAAAATCTGACATCCTTAGCAAGTCACAAATTGAAAATACTGAGCATGCACCTTATTCCAAATTTCTTTCATTTTCACTTGAACTCTACCTCTTGTGAAATCTACTGTAGATGAGAAGATTGTATTTATCCCTTCTTATCTGATCCATCCAGAAACTGATGCTCCACACTGATAACATTCGTCTGAGGCCTAAGTTGTCCTCCACTTTAATGTGACTTTACCGTCTTATGGTTACAGAACCCTGCTAGGCTTAACCTGTACTATTTTGATAGTATAGTAATATAGAGAAGTTGTACATATTGTTACATTCCTTGAAGGAGAAAGAAATATAATTATTGTTAAATATGTTTTGTTAAGGGGGTGCTTTCGGAGTTCCATTTATTTTCTATAACAAGAACCCTCTTTTATAGACTGTCAGGGATATATATTAAAAATGTTAGGGATATTTAATTTATTAAAATAATTTGAAAAGTACATATTTTTATGCAGTAAAATTTTAAATTGATATAGTTTTTTTTATGAATTCTCTAGTTTAAGTTATCTTTCTACATTTTTCTTTGGAAATTAATACCATATTTCAAATATACTGCCATGTTTAAAAGAACCTAGATTAAGTTTCTAAATTATGTAGTTTTGTACACAGAATCTGAATGATGTTCAGAGGCATTAACAGAGTTCTGAAGAGCATTATTCTTTGGGGCTATGAAATTCCACTATGTACAGTTTGTAGCCACATAAAAAGCATGCTGAAATGTCTTGTTTCATGTTATGTACTAAATCTGCAGTGATTTTCAATTGAATCCATTGCATTTTAGAAGAATTTTTTCAATTCCAAACAGTTCTTTCTAAAAATCTTTGTAGACATTTCGTAGCCTGAACAAATTCATTTTCTGTATTGAAAATAATCATTCTCCAGCGTTGCTTTGGAGTAACAGAGGTTACCTTTTATCAAAAGAATTAATAGTAGTTAGATATATTTGATCTACAGAGCTCTCCTTTTAAAAAGTTCTGTTATTGCAGTGTTTAGATACATTACAGTGAGTAGTTACGGTTTATTTTATTTTATTCCATTGTTCAAGAACAAGGTTTCAGTTTGACTCCTTTATTGATCAGTGTAGTAACTTGCACTAATGTTTAATAGGAACTGAATTTGGCCTCAAGTTAGTACCCTGCCTTTTCATTTCAAGAGAAACGACAGTGATCTTAAATGAGTTGGAAACTCAGGCAGGAACAGAAAGTGATTTGGATTAAATCCAAAGCGGAAACGCTGCCACTCCTCTTAAGAGTCCTTCTGCTGAGGTGCTTATGTGTAAGGACACAGGCACGGGAAGGTTTAAGCTACCCGGTCAGAAATGGTCAGGAAGAAGAGAGACAGAAATTCCTTTCTTTACTAGGAATGAAGTGCCTGATTGACAATGGAGGGAGGCATTTACCCTGGCTTGGGGATTTGCAGCTGTGCTGTTAACCAGCCTCCTGGAACTCAAAAGCTGGCCCAGTTGTCCCTGTAGGGGAAAAAAGCCTCCATTACCCCCAGCATCTTTGTGATCAGGGCACAGATGCACAAAACCTGTTGTGTGGTCCCTGATCTGGAGTGGGGATTTTGAGTTCCTATCTCCAGCATGAAAGTTCGACTAAAAGCTTTGGTCTCTTTTTCATTACATATTTATAAGGAGCAGGAGCCTAAACTTGACTCTCCAGCACTGCAAGCCACCACAATTGGAATATAGAGTCAACCTGTCTTCTGCCTTGTTGGAAAATTGTGTTGAAGCTTTGACAGTTCGGCAGTATTCAAGAGCTTAACTACTTCTACAGACCGCAGTCATTTTGTTTTAGCTGTGTTGTCTGGGGACACGGGGAAGACAAGATTTGTACACAGAGATACAAGACCATCTGTTTAGACCAACTATTATAAGCTGAAGAAAAGTAGAAAGCTACCAGTGGGCCTTGTTTACTTTTTTTCTGGTTGCATCAGGTGGTGTAAATAAAATGTTACTTGGGAAGCTCATCTTGCCCATAGAGACTGTGGGCATGAGATAAGAACTGGCCTCATAGATTGAGTTTATTCTTGGATTTAGAAATGAGGGTGAGCAGGCTCAGAATCCTGTGTGAATCTAGCCTCTTGTGGTGCCACAGCCCTGTTTGTTGTATGTATAATGCTGTGCCATCAAATTACTGCCATGCAGTGGCTTCTTATCACACTTCAGCTAGCAAAGGAAAGTATTTAGGTTTTCTTCTCAGCTGTGCCTGTGAATGAATGATGCAAGTAATTTATAGCTATTTATTACAAGTTAGATTGCAGAAATGTTAGATATTGCAGTTTCTTAATATAAGTAGTTTCACTGACAGTGACTTTCATCTTTTTTCCATGAGTTCAAAAGTTTACTGGTACCATTTATTCAAGAAAGCTGTGTGCTTATTCTTGAAACATCACTGTTCCTGATGTTTCACAGTAGTTAAAATTAATTATTACTAATATATTTAGATATATAGAACCCTTACCACATTGATTGCAGCACTCTGGTTAACAGTATATTATAGTTTTCAGAAATCTTGAGATCAAATTTATCAAAGACAACAAACCAACTAGTACTTGCTGAAATAAGTGGGTTTTTTTTCCTAAAGAATGTTGCATTTTTATTACATTATACTAGCAGGAGTTGGAAATACTCTGGGCTGCTTTAACCCTTTAAATATTCCTGAGCTTATACGCTCTCTAAATAAATGTGCCACATTAATACAAATTAACATTTTGTAGATTCAGGTAAATTCAGACCTGGTCCAGGTCTGAATTTGTACAATTCTGCAAATATGCTTGGAAATTTTGCTGAGAAATAGAAAAAGCAAGGAAAATATTTTCTATCTAATTATTTTTGCAGACAGCTATTTTGGGCTTTCTAACTTTCAAATTCCAGTCTCAAAGTCAGGGTAAACTGGGGCAAGTCTCCTTCCTGGACTTACAGTGAAATAACACTTCGGCTGTTTGGTCGACAGTTATTAGCTTGGGCATGGTTTACAACTGGCCAGGTGTCTCTTACATGTCTCAGTCATAATTTACAGTATTACCACAAGAGTTCCTCAGCATCTTAAACCTAATACATGATTTTGTCAAGTTTTTTCCCTATTTATATTTATTTTCAAGTTATTTTTGTTGTGGCTTTAAAAATCCTCTCTAGGCCACTGAATCTTATAGTAATCAAATAATGGAAAGTGTTTTAAAATAAACTGCTATGATCCTGTTAGCTCCTTCTGAAGCTGTTAAAGCTTCAGAAAAGAGAAATTCTGTGAAACCTAAGGCATTAGCAGAAACCTTAATTATTGAGGCAAATTATTCTTCTTATAGTGGTTGCCAAACAGGCCAGCTGATATGAGCACTGGCTTTTCTGAGCTGATCAGGATTACTCTGGAACAAGAAAATGTGACTGTCAGTATAATCGTGCTTTGGTCATTCAGGGGGTAGTCCTACTGAAAACTTTGTAAATAATGTGAACAGGATGTGATCCCAAATTAGCACTTTTAATTTTTTTTTATTCAAGAGTGCTTCTAAAGCACTGAGTAGGCTTTGCGCTTTTGCAGACATCTCAAACATGTATTTGCATTGACAGAAAATATTCCTACAGATGCATTTGTTTTTTCTTAACTGAAAGATGGCTTAGAAAATTTCGAACATATGATTTGTGGACCAATAGAAGACTGGACTCTTCTGTCATATCACTGCTTATCTAGCTGTTTCAAAAGCAGTTTTTAAATACCTTTATTTAAAGTATAGTAAAGTAAAGAGTCAGTTTAAAGCAAAGCAATTTATACTTTGCCCATGTTATACATGATTCCTTTATAAGCTGGAGTGTAATTAGTCTTTGACAAAATTGAACAACTGCATAATTTTTTTTTTCTTAAGTATATTATCATTTTGGTAATCTCTGCTTTTTGTTGGAAATACAGGCTCCAGATGAAGCATTGTAGTAATTTGTAGTTTGCTTCCAACTTGGAAAATACTATTTCAGTCTTGTGGGGAGAAAAAAAGAAATTTAAATCTCTTAAAACCTTGCTCCCATTAAATTAATTAACCCTAGGTTCTCTATTTGTTATTACTAGGAAGGATGTATTCTGAAAAAGCTAAAGCAAGTAACTGCAGTAGAAAGGGAAAAAAACCCTTGTTTTTAAATCACATTTACAATCACCAGCATAATGCTGAAAGGCTATTAAATAACTGGTGTTTCTAGGCTAGTATTGATTGCTGATGTAAAAAACACTCCATGCAGACCTGATGAATTCATCTTTGTGAATCACTTTTCTGACCTTGGTGGTCTCTTAAGGGTTTTGCTGATTTCTGCTGTAAACAGTGAGCTGCTAGAACTCAAAGTAGCTTAATTTTGAGAACGATGAAGCCTTCTTTCAAGGGGACAAACTTTGGTATCTCTAAAGGGAGGGCCTGTGTACCTTGAGTAATTCATTGATTTCAATGGTATTGCACTACAGGGCACTAAATATGAAGTATTTTTACTGTTGAACTGAAGTGGGTGACCACTGGTGCTAGGATTCTCGTTAGCGAAGAGGAGTACAGATAGGCTGCAGCTGCCTGCAGGACAGGAGCTTGTGCCATTAGCCAGGGTAGGAGCAGGTCCTGACTGAAATCCTTGGCCTTCTGTGGATCAGCAGTTCAGTGCTTTCCTGATCATGAGAAGGGGAACGTTGCTCAGCATTTGCTGAGGGGGGAACATGATTCTCTTCAAGCCTTAACAGTGGCTGAAACACGCACTGCCAGCATATTTGGTATTTTAAGATATAGTTTTTTCCCTAGAGATCAAATTCTAGTATCGAAATATTAAGTCTTACTGTAACCAGTTTACTGTTGCATTGTTCTGGAAACTGAATCCTAGTGCTTATGTTTCATACTGAATACTGCTCTGGAAAGCTGTCATCTTGATTTTCCAGAAGGTATTGTTTGTGATGGTCAGCTTATACTCCTGCCTTGTGGACTTCACAGCTGCAGGTATTGCCACGAGCCCACCCTTGTAGCCAAACTAAACTTGTACATCCCTTTCATGTTCACTGGCTTGCCACTCTTAATGGTGGATGTAATAATGCCCACAGGACTTCTAGAGATTGGGTTTAAAAACTTGCTGCTATATTGGGAAACCTGATATGGGTCATGTTAATTGTGCCTTTCATCACAGTTTCTTCTGTGTGCCAGAGTTGTCCATGTATATTTCTGAAGTAATCATTAAATCTGTTCTCAAGTTCTTTCATAAGAGGAAAGGACAGTTCTGTAGCTAGAGAGTGTTGTTGCTTTACCACTGCAACACAATTAAGATCCATACTCTCACACAGTCATAAGGTGAGGTATTCCAATATTATTCTTAAATAAAACTGCTTTTTTGTGTCAATTAAACCCCTCCTAATGTAGAGCTTATGCCAGTATGTGCAAAATATCTGCAGTAAGAGTTATGCTAAATAGACTTGTTGCAGTTAAATTGAAGCTATGGAGATGTACAAGTAACTTGTTTTTAGGAATGTACTGCAAAAGTATTTGAACAAAATTGCTAACATGTTTACTGTTGTAAATATTTTAATAAAAAAGACACTTCAAACTTTTTTACATAATTATCTACAATAAAGAGAAATTTACAACCATTTACAAAATGTTTCTTAACTTTTTCTTTACTGTCAGAACAGCTAAGATAAAACCAAAAGAAACATTAGATACATGAAGTCCTGGGTTTATTTCACTCTGTATTTATAAAAGGAACAAAGCATCTTCGTGAAGTTCCATCCACATGCTAATGAGATCAAATAGAGCATGATGAGAAGTGCGAATGGATACAAAAGAATGGCTGTGTTCTTCAAAAAGGGCAGTGCTGAAACAGAAGCAACAATGAAGCCAGTATAAAGTAGTGCTTTTTTGAAAAAGGTGCTTCAGGTACAATGGCCTTGAGGGAAGATAGCAGGAAATCAGGACTGCTCTGCCAGGTGCTTTAGAAGGGCAGTTTGTCATCTCTGCCCTGCTAGTCCTACCCTTATCACAAATGAAAGAGTACTTGAGTTAATTGCTATAGGTAATGACCTGCAAACCTGTTTTACCTAAAACTATCGTCTTAAACTCACCACAGAATTTTTTTATCCAATCAAACATTTTGAAGTAGATTTATAGAGGAACAAGAAAAACAAGTTGTGGTGCTACAGGTCTAATACAAAAGGGGAAGTTGGTAAAGAACAAATTTTTTGGTTAACATCTCCACCCAGCTGGAAACAGGGGAGTGGTAGATTTCTATCAAATTCCTTTACCATAAAGAATTACTTTAACACCCAGCTGAGCCTATGCTTTACAAATTAAGAAACCAAGATCAAATTAATAGGCTAAAATCATGCTCTTGCTTTTAGTCAAATAGACAAGCTGCTGCTGTTACTCACCACTGTATCCTAGGAATGTCACATAGATGTAATAGCCAATTGCAATCAGCCATAATGTATTCCCAACAAAATACCCAATCACAGAATCGGATATGATGACATCTGAAAGAGACAACTGTCCTCAGCTGGTTTGGTAGAGCATGATTTTGAAGCAGAGAGCACAAAATATTCTACTTACAGTTGATGAAAAACAGCTGGATAAAATGCAAAATGACTAGAAGTGGATAGAAAGCATTCAGATGAACATCAAAGGCATACCCCCACTCCACATCATAGTCTCTGTTCTGCTGCTTCACCAAGTATTTATTAGAAATGAACCTATACGAAAAGATATTTGCAAATGTTGTTAATGTGAATCTATAAAGCTGACCAACAAAACATTGGTTTGAGATAGCTACACATGATCCCAATTCTCTACCCCAACAAAGTATCTGGGAGAAAAATATGCAAGAACTATGCAGACCAGGCTCCCATTAAAACATTTTTGTTCAAACTATAATTGCATTCTTTGCATTACCCTGCTGGTAATACAGAAACGTAGCCCTAAAAAAATAGATTTATCAACGCAATCCAAGTTCTCAGGCAGCATGCCGCTTTTGTTTGTACACGCAGAGATGGCTTCAGAAGAGTGCTTGCACACGATCACCACACCTCACACAGAGAGGGTTTGTTCTGGCTCCACAGCAACAGCACACTGCAAGCATGGAGAGGGCAGGTGAGCACTATGCAGATGAGCCTGTTCCTTGTGCCCTGCGTGGTGTTCCAGCCTGCAGAACAAGCCTTGAGACTTTGTTTTCTTCAGCTGAAGTTCTGCTGATGTCAGAAAATTTATCCCATTTATAAGAGGAACAAGAAGCCAATATATGCTCAGAAATAAGAGACCAGAGCTTCTCACAGTAGCTTCCTCCAACATACTCTTTGTGCCAAGGGCAGGATCAGAAAAAGGCAGAGCCTGGGTGCAAAGTGAAGGGAGGCAAGAAGGGGTTTACTCATCAGGAACAGAGGGAGCTTTTGAAAAAATAAAAAAAGGTGAGCCTGCACTGGAAGAAGGAATTTGAACCAAACTGGAGCCAGGCAACTGATATTTAGGTCTGCAAGAAGCTGACTTAAGGACAGAGGAAAACCAACAGATGCTGAAGTCCTTCTGGTTCAGGAGACCGCATCCTGAGTCACAAATTGCTGGAGGGTGGGGGGAAACATTACTATATGCTTTTCCCCAAGCAACTTATGGGTTGCTGTCCCAGACAGAAGACTAGGTCACATGGACCTTTCATCTATCAGCAACAGTTCTTGTATGTGCCTCATCCTGAATTCTGTGATTACAAGCAGGAGTTCCTGAGATCACTGTTTAAAAGTAACCTATCCCTCTTCCCTACTCAGCATCAGGTTAAGATGTAAGCTCCATCACTAAGAACTCTTAAATGCCCTTGCCTCTAAGTTTTTTGTAAAAGAAAGATTCTTGCTTTGGTGCCCTCCTCTTGCCACAGCACAGAAACAGCAACTTCCCGTTGTTTCATGGTTCCCTTGCTGGTGCAGGACACATCTGTAATGTGCTGAGGCCTGGGTGATGAACTGATTCACTAGTGCCTCTCCCGTTCTGCAGGTGTCTGAACATTACAGGATAAGACTGGCAGTGACTACCACCAAAGCAACAAAGCCAACATGTGTGAAATACAACAGGTGTTACTTGTAGTGGAAATAACTAAAATCTTCAGCAAGAAGCACAAGCAATTGTATATTGCCCTATGTAAACATAAGTAATGTAAGCCTACGGATGATTAAGTTGTTCAACCAAAATAAGGAATGAGTTAGCCAGCTCAAGAAGAAAGCAAACAAGCTGAAATGTCCATCATAACCCAGACTTTCTGAACATTCATCGTTTACAGAAATAGTAAATAAAGAGATGTGTTCTTTTTTTAAAGCAGCATTTTGCGACAATTACCACAACAGCACAAAAACTATAGTCAATACATACTTTATAAATTTTGCCCCAAACAGAGAATCAAGTGTCTTGCAAACAGCAGGGGACTATCTGTGCCCAAACAGCAATACTGAACTCAGTTTCAGACATCACTACTTACCACATTAGAGTTGCAATCAGGAGGCCAACGCCTACGCAGTCTATGAATACAACCCAAAGTAGCAGCTTTATTGTTTCAAAAAACCCCATGTCCAGCACAAATCCAAATCCTACAGTAGACACTGAAAGGAGAAAAAGATTATATTAAAGTTAGCTGTGGTAAAGAAAGCATGAGATCTTAAACTAATGAGGTTTTTGAGTACAGTGTTAAAAAAATCATCAGTTTCCTTATTTTTCTCCCTGAGATTTTCAGTCCAACAGCTTTTTTTTTCCCCACCAAATACTAGGTATAATGTGATTTATTCATAATATAACCCCTTTCACAGACTGGAGAACACTCATCTGTACTTGGGTTTAACAATGTAACAGCAAATTGTATTGCTCCGCCAAACTATTTTTTATAAATTCACACAGCGCAGCAATAGAACATTCTTTGTTTTATCAAAGCTCCTTGTTAACCCAAACTATGTGTGCTGCAATACCTTAATTTCAGAGGTAACAGTTTTGATATTACTAACAGCAACATGCTGCATAACAGAAGACTAGGATAATGCTTCTTACTGTATTTTCAATTCAATCTAAAAATTACAGGAGACACACTGTTTATAGCTCAATTCTGCAATACCTAGAATCGCACTAGGGTCTTTATTGTAAAAACAGTATTTTGTCTGTAACTTTCAGATAAACCAAACGTTCAGTACTTTTTAACTAAAGCAATGCTATGTGGCATGGGTTTTTATTACTGTTTGTAAAGTTCCAGGGAACTACATAGTTTGAAACGTGCTAGAAAATGAGTTGCAACAGAACAATTAATTCAGGACTACATAGTATTACTTACACCTCCTGTTTACTAATTCCCACTTTAAGTTCCAAAAGGTTAGGCTATTTTCTTGTATGCTACTTTGATTAAAAGATCATCCACATGGACTGGTCCTTTGTGTGTGTGTGTGTGTGTGTGTGTGTGTGTGTGTGTAAGGGCCATAAATGTTCATCCCTAAACTTCCCCTCCCTTTTGCACTTATTTCCCAGCACTCACCACAGAGCCAGATACTGAGAAGCACTAAAAAGGCAGGATCATCTCTTGCCCACTGGTCCTTTGTCTGTTTTCTGTAGTGAAAGTTCCTATAAACCCTCTGCGGTGAAGTAAACAAGTAAAGCATCTGCCAAAGTGCAAACTCAAAGTCCATCTGTCGGAAGTGGAAGAGTCTCCGCAGGTATTTGTAGCGTTTAGCCCCAGCTGTGTGCCTCGCCGCATCTCTGGGACTCAGTGCACCGTTGCCCTGGCTCCGAGAATTAACTGAAGTGGTTGGCAGCATATTGCTAGAGAAGAAATTTCCAAAGATGCGCTTGGTTTCGCGTGTAACAAAGACTAAAAAACAAAATCACACGACGCGGGCCGCACCTGCAGCGCTGAAGCTACAAAACCCACGGACAAGCAGGAACTGTGACGTTTAAGAGCCGAGCTCGCCGCGGCCCGGCAGTCACTCCGCTGAGCACTAGGGAGGCAGCAGGGGGGAACTAGACGTAGGCACCTCCCTTCCCGTGCTGCCCGCCGGCGCCCCCACCCCTCAGCGCTGCCCAGGCAGCGGGCTCGCTGCCGGCGCGGCGCCTCCCTCCCACCGCAAAAGCGATTCGAGCTGTTAACGGCCGACGGGCTTCGCGGAAGGTGAAAGGCCGGAGGGCACAGCCAGGGGCGGGGGACAGAGCCAGCCCGGCCCCGCTCGAAGCGACCCTCACGGCCGCCCCTTCTCCCGCCCCACAAACGGCCGCCGCCCTCCCAGCGGGGACCCAACGGCCGGGCTCGCTGCCG